TCCCATCTATATAGTAAATACCTAACTTTGTCTATTTTCATTGGGCTGTATTTAAATAAATGAAGTAAGTTTATGAAAGTATTTCAAGCATTTTAAAGCTGTATGTATTAATATTATCAAAGCAAACAATCACAACTCAACTCCTGTATTTCCAGATATAGAGACATTTTGTACCTGTGTTGTTTTGTGACCAGGGGTAAGAACACATCCTTCTCTTGATATAAGCAACTGTCAAGTAAAACAACCTATACCAAGAGTCAAGTTAAATTGCACCAAAGCTGGAAAGTAATCCTAAAAGAAATTCTAGTCTACTTCCCTCAATTAAAAAAATATATATTTTTATTGATTTCAGAGAAGAAGGGAGAAGGAGAAAGATAGAAACATCAATGATAAGAGAGAATTAGTGATGGGCTGCCTCCTGTATGCCCCATCCTGGGGATCAAGCCCAAAACCTAGGCATACACCTTGACCAGGAATCAAACCCTGCTGGCTGGCCTTCCCTCTTAATTCTGTTTCCTGTTTAATAAATATACCTTGGTGGGAGAACTCTACTGTAAGTAGAAACATGTCTTTAAACTGGGTTGGGATGCTGATGAGTGACATTTTTATACACACAGCATTTGAAATTGCTCCCTAAGAAGAACTTCTCCTTATAATGTGTTGCAATAATTATAATTAACTTCCTCTTCTTTGACACCATCTGTTTCTTTCAGCAATGCCTAATTGGACCATCTAATTAAAGTACAGGTATTGCTTTAAAAAAATGAATTGTTGAAAAGTTATAGGTATAATGAATTTCTGTGTACTAAATTACATTTTACTCTTAAATTTCAATAATCATTTCAAGGGCGCATTCTAAAAGGACTCAAATAGGATGGTGATTTGGAGTGCCTCAAAAATCAATTCCAATGAAAGGATCATTAATTTACAATAAATGAAAGGAAACAGAATTTGCTCCATTTGGGTGGGAGTCAGGAGGCTTTCTGATTCTCATTTTCTGTGTGCAGAGATATTTCTTCTTGCTCTTTAAGGTATTCAAACGCATGGGCCTGTGATGAAAGTCTCTAAACATATAACAAATTCTGGTGCTAACCCAGTGATAGGATGACCTCTTTCATTTACAGTGTAGCACAGAGTTCCCTCTCCCTTTGACAAATGGTAATAAATGCTACAACAGTGAGCTGGGCGTGGGAGGGATAGGGAGGTAAAGGAGGAATTAGGACAACAAGGGCATACCTCATCCAGTAACAATTTCTTAGAAAATGGAGTATTATTAATTGACATGAAAGAAAACTGGATTCTCCAGTCCCAAGCCCTTTCTAAAACCTCAGGGATGGATTCTACAACTACAAAATGCTTCCTCTAAATAAATAATCTAGTTTGTCAATTCAAGATGGTAAAAAAAATAAAAATAAAAAAAAATCCTGATACAGCAGTGCTCACATGTATAACTTAACAGCTCCTCCCCCAAATTACCTTTCCCCAAACTGACATGAATGCCAGGTAGCTCAGAAGAAAGTTGAATCATTTCTGAAATAAGTAAAATAAAAGAACAAGACAGTTTGTTTTTTCTGTCAACAGAATGGAAAAAACTTTCCATGAAATAGTAAGAGGAAATGTATGTGATGACTATGCTGAACAGGGTAGAGAGAGTATAGAAGCCCATGGTTTACAAATCAATGGTGGGTCCTCAAGTGAGCAAGACACTTACTGTTTTAACAATACTGAGGCAGTACTGTTAAAAGGGGCAGGGCCAATGCTTCTGGTGCACAAATTGTTACACTACTTTATAAAATCATACTTTCAAATTACCGTCTCTCCTAATATTTACCATATACTCTGTACCACTGAGCAAGTTAGGTGTTACTTTTAAATATTGAAAAGAATGTAGTAAAAAGTAATTGTTAAAGTAAAAGAATCAAATCCTTAGAAAAAATATAAATTTTAATTTCATAAATACTAAATTCAACCTAAAACTAAATTCATCTTAGCTATTTACCTTGGGAAGGGAGATAAAATATTAAGAAAAGGAGGTCATAATATAAAAGCAAAATAAAAGTTTTTATGGGTTTAAGAACACTCTGGGATCTGAGTAGATTTACCAGAGGTAACGATTCAATTGAAATTCAAGTTATTATTAATTGCAAAACTTACCTTGGTGTCCCCACCAATTTACTAGAGACTGGTACAATCATCATAATTTACAACATTGGACAGAAAAATCAAACACTCTTGTTCTTTTACTTTACTTATTTCAGAAATGATTCAACTTTCTTCTGCGCTACCTGACATTCATGTCAGTTTGGGGAAAGAGGTAATTTCTGGAAAATCCATTGGTAAAGCAACTTTTCAACTAATGATTAAAGAGAAAAATACAACTAAAGTTCTTGAACAAGGGATAATCTCACATAATCATTCTGTTTTAAAAAAACAAAACCATGTCAGCACTAACTGATATGTACATCGATCTCTAGAGAAACATTCATTCTCATGGATAAAATGGGAATAAAGATATCTTAGTGCAGAAAAGCCCAAATACATCTGAGGCTTTCTAATCGCAGCTGGGAAAAAGAAACTAAAAGTATTTTGGAATTCAAATGCCCAATGTGTATGTAAATTATCCTGATGGATACAGAAAATGACAGAGTACAGCAACCCTTTTCTTTCCTTTAAAAAAAAAAATCTTAGTTATGATCTATTTCAAGTATATCAAATGTATAAAAATGATCATACATCCTGTATATACCACCTAAACTTAGACATATAATATTACAGATATAGTTGAAGATTCCCATCTTCTCCTCCAATTCTATTCCACAAATATCCATACATATTATTTCTAAATATCTCTTATTCTCCCTTATTTCATAGCAGTTTTCCTCTTTATTGGTAGATGGCAGAGATAACAGTTACACCTATAACTAAGTGCAACAGGAATAAATAAAATTAAGCACACACACACATACACAGACTTTTCTCAATAGTAGGAGGAATTTCTTGAGCTCAGAGGAAATTGTTACAGTGGAAAAAAAAATCACTTTCCATCCCAAAGACCTTTGTCCTCTGCATTCAGACACCCATTTGGGCTAGAAACAAGCTAAATTAAAAAATGGCAGAAGCTTAAATTAATAGAAGGAAGACCAGGAAAAAAAGAATGGCTTTGCGTGGAATGCAGGAGACACAGTTGATGGGCTTTTTAAAATAAACACACTTAGCAGGAATGTCTGATCTCCTTCTAACTAGAAGCAACTGCTATAAAGTTGAATGAGGAAGGAGGATGGACTTTGCAGCCACACTGACCTGGTACCTAATAGCTATATCAACTTGGGCAAATGATTGAGTTTGTTTGAGCCTCAATTTGCAATTTCATAAAATAGTGATAGAATATATATCTCACAGGGATATTTTAAGACTTTACTGTGAAAATGTATGCAGATAAAGCACTTAGTACTTGGCCCATAGTAAGTGCTCAAAAACTAGCAGCTATTGTGTACAAGCTAACTAAGCATGTTTTAGATAGATTAGTCTTTTTAAAAAATTATTTTATTAAAATAGCAATAACGCTTCTATACAAAGTGTAGCTGAAAGCAATGTAATGTCAGTTTAGTTGTTCCATACAAATTTCTGATAAGGTTGGCTTTATCTCTTTCTCTCAAATTTAATTTTAATTCACTTAAAAAATTGCCTCAAGTAAAGAATGTTCATAAAATAATCACCAGATATCATCAGTAGGGCAAGAATAAAAATAATGTAAAGTGAAAATGTCCAACACAATATTGCCTGCTTAAAATAAACTTAATGCAAAAAAATATTGAATAAAATATCACATAAAATAACCTCACTTCATCAACTGCAATATATGTTGTAAATAGTAGCAAGTCAATTTAAGCATAATGCAAAATACACCATCACAAAACTTTATAATTATTAATTAAATGAGTAAAACTGGGGTAAAATCAAGTCAGGAGTTCTTAAAGAATTGTTCCAGGTGAAAAAGAGGTGTAGGCAGAGTAGGGATAAATCTATCTCGTAGGACTATTCAGAGCATTCTGAAAAGGGATAACCTATCAATGCCCAGCACAATGCTTCACATCTAGAAAATGCATTTCCTAAAAGGAACTAAAGATTTTTCAGCGAAAGGTATACAAGCTTTAGATACTCACAAAAAAGCAAAATACTACTACGTTTTTTGCATGGATTGGGGGTTAGAGATCTTCATATAACAATTACTAAGCCATTAGAAATATGGCTCTGTGTTTTAGGGCTCCACATACCACAGCTGGCTTTGATTTGGGAACTGAAAGATATAGATGAAAAAGTGCACAGAAAGCAAACCAGAAGTTTCACAAAGGAAATGATAATATGAGGCTCAGCATGAGTTTCACTGAACTGTTAGATGCTTTTCAAAGAATCACATAGTGTAATGTCACCTGGCCTTGCAAAAGCATCCCAGACAATCTTTTTGGATGGAGGATATACCCTCATATCATTAAATTCCTAAAATGGAGAGAATGATGGGATACACTGAATTTTGTAGACAAATACAGTGAATTTTTATCCCCCATTTCTTATCTTAATTGAAATCATATCCCTGTGAGAAGAATGTTAATTTTCTAGTTATACTCACATAATTTCTGGAGTACTTTCAGTAGGTAGCATAGTATTTCTAGTTGAAGGCAGGTGCATCCAACAAAACCCCAAAGGTGACAGCATGAAGCTTGACCACACCTTATGCAATCTCTTCGTCTCCCTCCAGTGTGTGTACTGACTTCCTATTAACACAATCTACTCAGGTGTAACACTAACTGGAGCTCAGATCTCAACATTAAGTTTTTTCCTATTTGCATACCATCAAATTTCTACATTGAATTCTATATAACTTTCACAACTTAGCTAACATCCTTTCAATAAATAATCTATTTAATTTTTTTTTGGATGACAGAGAGGTACCCCTACAACACTGGTGCCTAAAGTAACTGTTTAGTAAACAAGTGAGGTACCTTCAGTGACTGCAGGGAGTTTGAGTTTGCATCGCAGTAGAGGATGATGTTGTTGGCCATGCTGAAACTTTCTCTCACTCCAAGGTGGTAAAACAAGGACGGCTGCCGGAAGGCATCACTCATCTCCACCACAGCAATATCTGCAAACAGAGAACAAAGTTCCCACAAAGATGACACCTAAGTAATGCCCAATAAGCACATTTTGGTTTCAATAACTTAGCAAATGAAGAAATGATGGGAATTTTCCCTCTGCATTTACCACTAAATTTTGAATTTGCAGTTCTACCTGGAAGTGGTTTTATAAAAAGTAGCCAAACTGCATTTTTTTTTAAACAAGAAAGAGATGACATAATTGCTGCAAATTAAGGAGAGTTTGCATTGGTCAACATTAAAACAAGTTAACTAAGGTTGCAGAAGTAGATCTATGGGAAGCAGCAATAAGTAATAACTATAAAATGAGATTTTAAAAAGCAAATAGGTAAGATTGGGATTTAATCCAGAGATAAATTTAATATCTTGCATGCCCATAGCAAGTATAAATCAAGAAAAATGGAAAGCAAATGTACAGAAAATTATGACTAAGAAAGAGGATATAATCACATATACAATTCTTTCAAAGCTCAGAAATGCCTAACACCAAGGTAGTATTAATCTGAGACCAAAAATTGATAATAGTGTCACAAAATAAAATTCAGATTAGTCTTAAATTCATTTATACACAAAGATATGAAAGAAGAATGAACAAAATTCACCAAGTATCTCTATATATAAAAGCTGAAACAACCAGCCAACCAGCTGACTGTTTAACTGGTATCTATGATGTGCACTGACCACCAGGAAGCATATTTTCAATGCAGGAGCAGAAACCACAGGCATGGAAATGTGGAACAAACTGATGAATCTCAGCGGAAATGGGGAGGGTAGAAGAGATTAACCAAAGATCTTATATGCAAACTATAGGCCCAGTGCACAGATTTCGGTGGGGTCCCTCAGCCTGGCCTGCACCCTCTTGCAATCCAGGATCCTTTGGGGGATGTCAGAGAGTCAGTTTCAGCCTGATCCATGCAGGACAAGCTGAGGGACCCCACTGGTGCACAAATGCATGCATCAGGCCTCTAGTTTAGAACACTAAGTTATTAGTTTAAAATTTACTTTGAAAATGCAAGGGTGGTTCAGTGGGGAAAAAAAAACACACAAACATCAACAAGTTCACAGATGCCCCAAGTGCTTTAAAATTCAAAATCTATTTAATGTTAAAAATAATTACAAGCTAAAAAATTAGATCATGTCTTTAAAATGAATAATAATACATGCTTTACAATTCCTGCCTACTTTGTGCATATTGGCATTCTCAAGAAAATCAGAAAAAGATTGCCAACTATTTCTACAAAGTAAAGAGGTATAATTCCATAAAGTAAAATACACAATTATCATTATTTTCAGATGGCTGTCAACTAAAAAATCTCAAAAGAATCAACCAAATAACTATTGTAAGTAATAATGTAATTTAATAAGGTATCAAAATACAAACATATTATGAAAACCATAAGCTTCCTTTATAATCACAATAAGCATTTGAAAAATATAACAGTACAATAGATCCCATTCACAATTAAAATGTTACTATACCTCATAACAAATTTAACAGATGATACTGTTAGAAAATATGTGCAATATGTAATAGATTACTAATATCTTTAGAAACAATCTTTTATTGGTCAAATTAAAACAAGCAACCATAAAAACACTATAATAAAAAATTAGGCAATGACATAGGCAGGAAAGTATCTGGCCATGCCCCCCAGTGACCCAAGCGGAGGCCCTGATATCTGGGATTTATTTATATTCTATAATTGAAACTGTAGCCTGGAGCGGAGCCAAACCTCCTGCTTGCTTCTTGGCCGCAGCCATTTTATTTTCCTGAAGCCATTTTTGTTGGGATTTATTTATCTTCTATAATTGAAACTTTGTAGCTTTGAATGGAGACCACGGCAGGCCAGGGCTACGGACGTTTGGCTTCCTCCATTGCCAGGGGCAATTCAAGCCTCCTGCTCTCTCCAGCTCTGTGGCTGTTGCCATTTTTGTTAGGATATATTTATCTTCTATAATTGAAACTTTATAGCCTTGAGTGGAGGCCTGGGCCACCAGGATGTGCTGAAAGTTTAGCTTCCTCCATTGCTGGAGAAACCCAAGACTCCTGCTTGCTCTGTGGCTGTAGCGATTTTGGTTGGGTTAATTTACATACTCACTCTGGATAGGCTTGTGGGCGTGGCTTGTGGGTGTAGTGGAGGGGTGGTTAATTTGCATATTAATCTTTTATTAGATAAGATAATAACTTTTTAAGGCAATGATATGAAACTATTGTGCCTGATTGTATTTGGGGTCATCAAATAACAGTGGTTCATGGTCTGTGTTTCTTTTTCTTATCTATTTAATTTTTCCTTCATAATACCACATCTGTTATTTAAATATCCCACACGACTGACCTGCTACTACTTGTGAAAAACACAACTGAAGGAAGTCATTAATCTTTACTTCCTTTTTATCTATTCAAATGTTTTTCTTAGACATCACATCACTTATGACAAAGCAAGAGCCCCAATAGTGATTTAGTTTGTATTAGTCTACAAAATACTACAAAATTCCATAGAAATTTCCCAAGTTATCACATAAAACTATCCCACCCAGTCATGATCGATTAATCCTCAAGAAGACCCAATTTAGTTAAAAAAATATCCTGAGCACTTTTTGTATAAAAGATTTTCTGTTATCTGTTTTAAAAGTTAAATAAAAATTAACCAGTCAGTTTTCTAAAGTTTGGTAAGTATACAATGTTGGGAAATTGCAAAATCCCTATTGTGCAGCTAGTGTTGCTGAAATTTTTAGGAAGGATAGAATAATAATCTATCATTGTTGTCCCGAATTGGTTTGGCAATTTCTGCTATAAATTATTAGTCATTTAATTTCACAACTATCACTTCATTTTCTTGTACATTATTTGGTTAACCATACCCTCCATATTTGTGTCAACAGTATATTTTGAGCCATAATTTCCTCATCACTAATCTCCAATAGATGTATGCACAGTGATTCAAACATGAATCATCTTATATTGCTAAAGCAAATGTAAACAATGTCCCTGCCCCGGCCCTAGTTTGCTTGTTTGATAATTACACTGAAGTGGGCTTTTCTAATCTGAAAAGTGAAGCCTGGAAGGTAGGTAATCAGAAGGACATTTTCACCTCCAGAGACTGGCCTTTAAAAAAAGAGCCTTACAGCTGAAATCGGTTTGGCTCAGTGGATAGAGCATCGGACTGCGGACTGAAGGGTCCCAGATTCTATTCCGGTCAAGGGCATGTGCCTTGGTTGCGGGCACATCCTCAGTAGGGGGTGTGCAGGAGGCAGCTGGTCGATGATTCTCTCTCATTGATGTTTCTAACTCTCTATCCCTCTCTCTTCCTCTCTGTAAAAAATCAATAAAATATATTTAAAAGAGAGAGAGAGAGAGAGAGAGAGAGAGAGAGAGAGAGAGAGAGAGAGAGAGAGAGCGCGCGCCTTACAAAAGGAAGGTGGTAGGTAGAAGAAAAGGGAGAAACTTTGAGGGGAGAAAGAGATCAAAGAGAAAGAGATGGGGGCGGGGAGATTAGAATCAGGGAGAAAGAGGAGGACATGGAACTAAACAAGATGGGTGTTATAAGAATTACAGTCCCCCTTCCCAGGCAATAGTTGCCAGAATTCATGTCATGATGCTCCAGCTTTAAAGAATGTGAGGGGGAAAGAGCACACATACATAGGAGGTTAATATTTCAATCACTTACCATCATAAGAATGCTAACTATCCAAGTAATAAAAGCAAGATGTGGACCCAAGTTTTACAGAAACCAAAAGCTCTATCCCCCCCCCCCCCCTTACTTCTATCTGCCTAAAATGAAAGCAAGGAGCATATCATAAAAAGGGAATAAATTTCAACTTTATTCTGCTTAAGGGACACAGACAAAAGCCTCACATTAAAATCTCAATCTTGCCACAGGAAGAATTTTGGTCACAGGAATACTGAGCAAATAAATAATCCTTCTCTCCTATTAGGGAAGAATTTCAAGCACACAGGATTTTGATAGTGGTTTAGTGTCATTAGGGGAGCCCTGTAAATACTCTAACGAGATTCAGTGTTTCAGGAATCCTTCATATCAGTACACAGGAAAGTAAATAAACCACAATTTATATCTTTAATGCATACCAAGTACTTTATAAAGTGATATTTCCCTGGCCACAGGCACACCATCCCCTACAAAATTTTGCTTATTAAAGAAATACAAATAGGTCCTATATCAAAGAGCTATTTATTCTCTTTCTAAGTTAATATACAGTCTACTTTATACCTTAAGAATTTATTTTTTAATGTTATGATAATAACAATAGACCAAGTCAAGTGATCTATAGAGTACATAATGTAAGAAAAATATAAGTGAAAATAAACTCAGGTTTATTCTGTGACAGAAATGGGATATAAGGCTGCTTTGCTGGCGAACATCTCTATAACACCACAGAAACTTTTTCTTCTTGAAATAATAATATTTCCCAAGGGTATGCTGGGTTTAAGAGTCTACAATAATCAATTTTGATCTCTATAAACTCATTTTATATAATACATTTCAGTCTTTAAATAATCAATAGGTTTTCATTAGATACTGAGAGAGGTACTCAAGAGAATTTTGAAGTTATTTTATTTATTTATTTTTTTTTAGAGTTTACTGTAGTTTTTATTGTGGTTACGGTGCATGCTATTTTTCATTTTCTCATATTTAGTTTAATTAAATCATCAAAGCTGCCTGCATGTATGCCTCAGTGAAGTTCCCAAACACACAGAATAGCTCTTTATAACTATAAGACTCTTACACAAGTGTTCTCCCTGCCAATCAGAACCATTCATCTGTTTTAATTGGTACTTTCATTATGTAGGTTACAAGAGTTGATTTGTGATAATTTTTGAAGAAAATCTGATTGTTCCTCATGCATCCCAAGTGATATTCTTCCCTAATTTTTTATACCTTTACTAGAGGCCCGACACACGAAATTTGTGCACAGGTATGGTACCAAAACCTGGCCTGTGATTAGGGCCATCTTTCCCGCCTCCACCCCA